CGTTCAAGGAATTACCTCGAAAAAGAATAGTTGACTTTGTTAAACTTGACATCAAGAACTTTTAACGAGTCAGAATCGTGATTGTACAGGAAAGGGTTAAACTCTCCTGAATTCTTTTTTATTTCTTCTTAACACTTTGACTGACACGTCTTCCATATATGGATGACAACACTTTGTAACTAAAACAATTAATTTTAAAGCTGAAAATCGAAAGAAAATAAATTTGAATAGGATTCATTTAACAGGACAAATCTTAATTCATGTAGTTTGAAGTCGAAGTTTTGATTTGTTAAAAAATTTTATAGTTTTGGTCTCGCAATTAAAGTGTCAACTTGTCGATTGTCATAAGTAATACTCTGGTTGAAATGAAATTTACAACGTTGTCGATAAGAATTTTAATGATTGTAAATATTAATAAATGTCAGAATTAGCACTATTTTTTCGCAAAAATTCGATCTGAAGTAAATTTTAACAATACATTGAAATTACATACAAAATGATATACGTTATTAGTAAAGTTACAAGAAATAAAAATTATACAAATTTGATAATTCGAAAATTGTTAACTCAAAAAAAAAACAAAGTCTTTTCAACCGAAAATTACATCAAATATTTGTTTTATAATTATAAAAAATGTCAACCAAATTTAAGAGTTCCGTTTTTAGTTTCTGAGAAAATCAACTTTTATTTTTTCCAATTTAATTAATACAACCATTGAACTTTAAATTTTGTCATGTATTACTTGATTAATATTACACCTTCGTAGATGTATACACAAACGATTAGTTTCGTCTATATGACAATAATGTTAGTACGATTGATCATAGATATACATATTTTCGTTACGAAACATTGGTTTGGCACTCAGGAGATCTTAAAATGTGTACCAAATTGTGATTTAAAAATATTCTCTCTCTCTCTCTCTTTCTCTTTTCTGAACTTAATACATACTGTCAATACAAAATATTAAGGTGATAATTCAGGATATTTCTCGCTGTCTCTTGCTGCGAGAAGTTCAAGATAAGGCTTAATTACGTTCGCATTTGTCAAGCTAGTGTCCCTGAGGCTAACTGCAGATACGTTTTCGTCTACATGAGTTATCGAAGCATCCACCTTTTCTGAACGAATATGTAATTACAGACTACCATCGGACTATAAACTTTATTTTCAGCTGCACTTTGATAACAAATTTGCTGAATAAGATGTCACGTTCAAAGTATAATGCCAAGTACATATGTCTTAACATCGTTGGCAAACTATAATTTGCGTCGGTGGTTGTTTTATACAACGCAGGTGCAATCTTGTTACATTAAAAAAATTTGTATTTTACTTTGATGATTGTTTATTGTGTTATTTATACACGCCTTATCGTTCAGTGACTCTATTAATCACGTTTTGCAACATAACCTTAAATTCACGCTAATCCCTTATTTGCAAAAAGAATCATTCCTTTGAACGAAAAAATTTTTTAAATGTTGGAAAAAATGGAAGTAAATTATTACACCTTAAATTTATATTTAATGTCGCGTCTTCAAAATTTTAGTATATATAAAGTTATGAAAGTGGAAACAAATAAGCTAAACAAGAAAGTTAAATTTTCTTTCATTATATTTTGCAAATTATTGTTGGAAATCAATAGTTCTAATCAGAGTGTTGATCATCTTCGAGACATAATTTGTTAACTTAACATTTGGCAAAACATCTCAATTAACTTAGAAAAATTTGATATGTACATAATAAAGATTTTTAATTTATACAAATAGTAACAGTGGAATTGAATACTTTTATTTAATGCTATGCGCAAGATATTATTAAAGATAAATGAAACATGTTGCATGGATATACAATTTCTGATACATAAAATACACTATCAACAAAAATTTAATTATTTAATCATTTCAATTAAACAACTGATTCTTTAATCAAAACTATTCACATTTATCATTGTTAACACGTATTACTTAACAATTAATAGAAATTATCAATATTCCTGATACAACAAACAACTGTTTCCAACCGATTCACTCAAAGCTACATCATAAATTATGACACCATATCATACTTTCATATAAATTTTGTTTATAATTTTTTTTACTGAATTTACCCCTAAAATGGATCCTTTTTAGTTACACCACCATAATTATTACGAATTTCCGAAGAAAGATCATTAAAAAATGAAATAAAATTTAATCTAGTAAGTAACCAGTGAATCCATAACAAAAGTATAGAAGATAATGCGTAATTGATTATACACGAATCGATGAGAAATCTGTTCGTACCTGTTCCACGAGTATTCTCAAAAGTCACCGGTAGCTGACAAAAGATCGATTTCTCATGTCTTTGAAATAAGTTTCGAAAACTGACAGGAAATGATCCTTGCTGAGGTGTACCGCTGACCGCAAACTTCCGAAGAATAAAGCTTGCTTCTGCCCCATTATGCAGAGTATTAGGTTTACAATATGAATACAAATTGATCCTCTTTGCAACAGCCATGTTCCAACAATCAAACGAATGTTTCAATGAAAGAAGTCTCCATAATGTGAATAAGATGTTCAGAAATAATGTTTCTAGGATTGCGTGCGAGTTCGAAGCAACTGAATGGAACTGGCCGCGCGAATTGTGTGCACACGCGTAACAATGAAAGTTCATTATAGAGCGAGAAAGGTGTAACGCGTTTCGGTCCGTTTTAACCCACTTCTTCTTTGGTTTCTTTTTCAATGGACAGTCACATTTGTTTATTTTACGTTTCAAATGTTTACAAATAGTTACAGAAAGATGTATTCATTCGACTGTTTCTTACTGTAGACACTAAACATTCTTTCAGTTGGTCATTGAAAACTTAATAATAATACGCTGTTTCAATTTCTCCATTTTGTTTTTAGACTGTCATAACCTTAGACACAATGTAGACGCAAAAATCGTAACGTTTATGAGTCATTTTAAATTTTTAGCGACAGTAGTCAACCACTACTTGCACCATCAGTAACACAACCCGTTATTAACACTTTGACTGCCACCATTAATGATTTACCATTATGATACTAGAAAAATTAATTCTCAAGTTAAGACGTCGATTGAAATAAATTTGAATAGAGTTTGTGAGTTTTAACAAGGTTACAAAAATAAGTACTGAAACAAATTTTAGGTTATGTACAATGGTCAAAAATCAAAATTATACTTGTGCAAAATATTATATGGTTTTGATCTGGCAGTGGACGTGTTAAACCTTCCAGTGTGTCTGGTATTCGTGCACTAATTGCAAATTTAATCGTCCATTTCGATATAAGCAAACAAAGGGAACACTATTTTTCACCAAGTGTTACGTCCACCCGTAAATTTGCCCTAACGTTGGGAGTGGCGACAATTAAAAATAAATGGCGCCAATTAAGCTACGGGACCACGAAACCCGGGTAATTGACATTGTTTGCGGCAGAATAGCAGATACTTGAGGGTCTCCCGTTTATACGTATTGTGATACGCTCTTATGAAAACCACGCCTCGAGGGGTCGGCCATCTTGATGCCTGAATGGGTGAATTCCTATTGGCTATGACCCATATGAATTCTGGGTGCACCGTTCTCGGAATCCCCCTCGAATGATGCTCGACCTCGTGGTTGAATCCCCATTGTGTCGGGAATCATAGCTCGGGTCGTTAATAATCTCGGAGGTTAGCCTGATGAACTGTTGCCACCTATCCCTTCATCGTTTCTTGGAAGCGTGACCATTGTGCACGTCCTCGATTCGTGAAGAATTTTGGCGAAGGAAAACTTCCGATCATCACGAATGATTAGGTTTGGGGTAGTAGAAATTTAAAGTTATATTTAGCCTTTAAAGTTATATCAGCTACAACGCGCGATTAGACAGTACAAATAAGAAACAGTACAAAAATTATGGTGTTTAATATTGATTTAAAAAAACATTGACTTCTGAAAAATTGAATTATTCTTCTTTTATAGGAATGCCATGCAAGGAGTTCAGTAAAGTTACTGAAAAATTGAATTATTCTTCTTTTATATGGTGTATTATAGAAGTCTGAATAATCGGGTCTCTGCATGTTTTTAAATTGTAAGAATTAAGGGTGAGCTTTGTACGTTTTTCATGTCAGGTTTCATCTTCGTCTACATAATTATTTAATCTATTCGATAATATTATTTTCTATGTATATATCCTCATTCGCTCAAGTTATAAAGATGAATTTTATTGGGTTTTGGCATCATTGTAAATTTGACCATAAATGTTCTCAAAAGTGCAATCTATGCAGTGTTCGAGAAGATTTATAATCATTTTCTTTCGTTAGTATTTATTTCCAGAGTCTAGCAAAACAGAAATGTGTACTTGAAAAAAAGAAAAAAAAATAAGTTGAAATTGTTAAGTATGAAAACTGACGGTGGCATTTGTATGAAGTTTATAGCAAACTTAATTAATTTATTTCTACATGAGTAAATTTTTAATTTCGAAACTTTTAAATTGAAATTGGTTGCAAGTACTTTCAACAATCGTTTATGACGTTTCTTTTGCATCGTTTAAATCTCAGACCCGAAATTCAATAGAATGTGTCTTAATATTATTAATATTTGCTATTATTAGTCCAATTATTAATATAGTTAATGGCGTACAGAGACACGTTTCACTGTATACAGCAAGAAAATCACGCGTGAATTTACCGGATTTCTCATACCAAAATAGCGTACAATAGTATTTTAAACCAGAAATTAACGACCATTGAGTTTTTCGAACGGTAGTCATTTAAAAAGATTATAAAATATTTTTATATGTTCTAAATATCTCAGTATTATGTATAAGACCAGTTTAAGAGCAAAAATGTATTTATTGTTAGAAAAGCAATGTGTAACTTGTAATGAGTATTGTTTCAGTCCTTTGATGAAATTAGCTACAATGGCACCGGAATGTGAAAGATTTTTCCTAAAAGGGTGCTATTTTATTTACATTGAAAACATTGAAGGAACAAATGCGTAATTTGTTATTTTTGTCCGATTATAGCCAACAACGATATTCGCGCGATGCACTTCTGGAAAGCAGTCAGAATGGTCCAAACTAGTCGGACGTATTGCTGCACCGGATACACTCAGCCTACGGGAGCGCCAACATACGAGGGGCAGGTGCCCTATATAGGGGTTGCACCACCACCGGGCACTGGCCAGCTCAGGCCACTCCTGCATCCCCTGAATTCTCACCTATCGACCACTAGAGTGCCGTCCAGTCCTAACAGTCCTCCAGATCATTCTACTACGTAGCCTAGGTAAGTCACGTTTCATCCGTTTTGTCCACTATAAATGTATAGTCCGGGCCACGATATAGCAAGGTCGTAAACTAAACTCTCGAGGGTTGGGACCGACTACTGTTGCGCCACTTAGGGCCATACATGACATCTTGCTTGACGGTATCTTTCTGTGTCTGTCACTGCACTATCTTTTTTCATTTTTTACATACATATATTATAAGCAGGTAAATTACGATATTAAAGACTTGAGTAAGACCTTTACCTGTTACGATACCTCTAAAAATGGCGACACTGACTATAGTCTAAGGCCCTTAACTGCTCGTATTTCTGTTAGTTCTCTTGTTTCGGGAGCTGAAACGTGTAAACTTTGACACCAACTCAAGTTTACGAGCTCGCTATATCGTGGCCCGGACTATACAGTAGATACTGCGATGCAACAGTAACCAAGAAAGTAAAACATTCTTGCGCGATCAAAATGTCACGATTTCAACGATTCGACCTCGTTGAACTCTCCTTTAACAAATAAAACCATTCTTTGCCACAACATATTAAACATTTATCAAAATCTAAAAATTCCTTTCACTTGATTAGTAATTGTATTAATTTGCCCGCTTATGTACGATTCTGTTTATAGATTTCTATTTAAAAATAGTGGTCTCCCACAGAATTCTTTCGAAATAATCTGCTGATCTTTGTAATTTTACCAGGTGTTTGGTTTGTAAACGGGAAGTTCTGTTTACGACCATACTTGATACAGAGCAATCGATATTATTATGAGACCAGCGTGTCAACTTTAAATATTAAAAACATTCGTAGAAGGCTACATCGAAATAAGCAGTTACAGACTTGTGCATTTACCCCGAAAATACCTGCTGTTGTAATCTATATAGCATATGGTACCGTGAAAAGACTTATTTATTTTTAAATTTAATAGTTGAGTATCATCAAAACAATTCATTTCCGGTCGTCTGTTTGCAAAGACATTTTTGATCCTCTAAACGAGTTCTAACAACACCTAAAGATTCATAGTCGTAGTTTATGTTTAACGTTCCACGGTTTTTTAATATATTTCGTTTATTATTTTAATACAATTTATAGCTTTCATATCCTTTGTGATTTAAATATTAGCTGATTTAAAAAATTGTAAAAATTAATTTGACGAGTGATACTATAACATATAAATCAATGCATAAACATCTAACTTCAACATTTTACAAATAGTAAAGCTGCACAGGTAAAGTGAAATTCATATTATAAACAAAAAGTTAGATCCTCATAACAGGAACAAACATTGTGAAATTCTTTAAAAAAATTTTCAATTTCCGATTTATTCCATATCAATGTACCATTACTATTATTTTGATCAGGGTTTATCTAATTTTGTTATCCCTCTCGTGTAGAAGTTTTGATATTAGATACATGATTGAATGAAACACAACTATAAATAAAAGATTCTTCCTAAATTGTTTTCACCTAGAAATAAAATTTTATCTCAAATTGCTTTTGCATTTTAGTAAACATTACATTTTGAGGTGGCATCGGAATGCTCCTGATCAGAATGGTAATAAATCAGAACGAATGAAAGTCTCGAGCCAAAGACGGCAGAGGGATTAGTTTTCGTTTCAGGATATAAAGGTCTTTCTCCTTCTCCACGATCTTCTTTTGTTTGAAACGCTCGAAGTTGGGGCCGTAATCGCAAATCCGGCACACATAAAACAGATTCTAACCTATAAAATACCCTTCCTTTTAAGAGCCAACCAGGCCCGTATCGCTTAGACCAGCGGAACTGTTCCCCAATTTCCTGCTACTTCCTCCTTCCGTTTCTTTCTTTCGGTTCGTGTTGTTCTCAACTTTGCCTTTTTCACTATCGCAGCTTCGTCTTATTTCTCGTGATGATTTCCTTTACTGTCAAACGAGCAGCTTTCGCGTTTTCGCTCCCTATTTTCACCCATCTTGGATCGAATACTGTGCGTTTATGTCCATTTAGGGCAAAAATAAAAACAGGCTTTGGAAGTACTCGTGTAAAATTTAACGCAAAGAGTTTTATTTCTTACAACAATTTTTTTTACTGTCAAACGAAAAGTTTTCACGTATGTGCCCCTTATTTTCGACCATCTTGGATTTTAAAGTAAGACTCAACTTAAATTATATGTATATGTATACAGGGTGTTCGGCCACCTCTAGCAAAAATTTTAATGAGCGATAGTAGAGGCCAAAATAAGACGAAAATCAAGAATACCAATTTGTTGATGGAAGCTTCGTTAAAAAGTTATTAACGTTTGAAGTGCCGCCCTTACTGAATTTTTTTCTCGAAAATGCGCAAGATTTCGGGGGTATGTCTATTCACCAAAAATGACTGTAATTGAACCCTACAACCGAAAATAATTTTTCCACAACGATTTGCAATTTTTTAATTTTCTCGAATAATTTCACACCTTCTCTATTTTTTTTCTCGAAAGTGGGCAGGATTTCGTGGGTATGTCTAATGACAAAAACTGATTGTAATTGACCCCCGCAACCGAAAATAATTTTTCCACAACGATTTGCAATTTTTTTTCTCCGTTGAAAAATTTAGGCACCTTATTGGATTTTCAGTAAGGAATTTTTTTCTCGAAAGTGCGTACAATTTCGGAGGTATGTGTAATGATAAAAAATGATTGTAATTGATCCCCGCAACCGAAAATAATTTTTTTAGAACGATTTGAAAAATTTTTTTTCGCCGAAAAATTTCAGCACCTACTCGATTTTTTTTCTCGAAAGTAGATAGGATTTCGGAGGTATGTGTACTCACCAAAAATGATTGTAGTTGACCCCCGCATCCGAAAATAATTTTTCCAGAACGATTTGAAATTTTTGAATTTAATTGTTAATAACTTTTTAACGAAGCTTCCATCAACAAATTAGTATTCTTGATTTTCGTCTTATTTTGGCCTCTACTATCGCTCATTAAAATTTTTGCTAGAGGTGGCCGAACACCCTGTATAACGAGAACCTATTCTATATTTTCCTTACACAAAAATTGCAAATGCAACATTGTTTTCTGTGCAACGTTTGTTTCGAAAACAATTTCCTGAAAATACAAAATTCATACTTTTATTTCTATTTCGCTTGAGCCTTGCGAGGGGGAGGTATTTTTCATTGCATTTTTGGGTCAAGATGGATGAATTTCTGCAAAAGGTGTAAATAGATTTGAAGACAGACCGATGTCAAATTCTTGATCAATCTGAAATGTTTAATGGAATATATCATGAATGAAGAAACATGGCGAGACGCCGTTTGTCGCGAATACTGGAAGAGAACTTCTCAACCATGAAACAAAACCGGACAGACGCAGCTATGTGTGTTTGTCGACGCCTTCTCTCCGCAGTAAGGTATTTTGAACCGCAACGATTTTCGCTACTAACTTCATCAAAGCGACCGCTAGTGATAGAGCTGGTATACGCAGGAGCTTAAAGGTACGGTTTCGGCTTTAACGATGACAACACCATAAAAAATCGAATTTATGAGTCGCTTAGCCATCCTTCGTTCGGGCTTTGTTCGGGTTCTTAGTCGTTTACCTTCTTCATCGAGCATTTCAAAGGAATCGTGCCCATGGGAAAGCGAAATCGAGCGCCTCTATGTCTACAATTATATTTGATTACCCATTCCGAGTAATTTGATTTATTTTCAAGTATTTGCAGAGCAATATTCACAGAAGTTGTAATATCGTTTAAAGGAAATACAGAATTCCATGAAAAAAAAATAATGATAAAATAGATCCATCGACTGAGGCCTTGAAGCTCAGTCATTTTTGTCGTAAACATTGAATTTGTTAATGTTTGAAAATTGTAGAAGGAAATAAAATTTTTCACCTAAAATTCCATCAAGATTTCACGTAAACTAACGATTAATAGCGTTATAATCAATAAAACTCACTTTATGACGGATTTCTCTTCCATCAGGACCAATAGTTTCTTTGAGTTTTGTGAGTCATCCCGGCACAAATGGTTAGAGTCCCGGGTCGATGGCATAGGTCAAGAAGAAATTTTACAAATTATCAGGAGTTTTTGTACTAACACAGTGACCCGTTAACGACCCACTTCGATTCGAACGTATTAAGGTTGGTTTGCACACTAGCAGTTACAGTGTTGTGTCACAGTGGCTGCCGCAATCACGAATAATTAGACTGCGGATGTTTATGCACTTAAAATATGTTGAAATATACAAATAACATATTTGAAATACGAAAATATTATATACAAGCATATGTCAAAATATAAAGACACCCAAAACAATATATGTGAGCTATGGTAATATTTTTTTTTTATCGATCATGATTATAATTTAAATCACCATATTTAAATTTACTCCCAAAGCAGTCGTCAGTTTCACTTGCCTCCTAAACAATTTCATCTCCTCAAATTTTTAAAATTTAAAATATTGTCTCACATCCGGATTTTCTTTTTAAAATTGCATAGCAATTTCTTCAATTTTGTTCAACATTGTTTAATAATTTTATCGAAGTTAAAAATCACTTTAAATTAAATTATTTGGAACCAGAGATGTAGTTTATTAAATCGAACAGTTAAATTTTTATTTGTTCTCTATGAAATATTTTATTCCACGATTAAAATTTTTATTTTTATGTTTTAAATTGAAATTAATATACTCGATCACCATAAAGGAATGAAAACAATATGAGTTTCTTTTAGTGTATACCTACGTATGGAGTGAAAGCTATATAAACCTTATATAAACTATATAAATCTTTCTTTCAATAATACTTCACAGGATGTTTTCCACTGTTTCGTTGAATCTATTTTTAAACCTTCTCCAATGTTTAACTTGTATTTAAGAAACGTTCTATAAATATGCATCGTTCTGTGATCAATGAATGCAAATTAGTGGTTTTCTGTATCAAACTGAGGGTCGAGGAATAGTAAATACATATTATTAGCATTACCATGTATTTTGGGCGAGCGATATTTATTGACGTAACAGTCCATATCATTAATGATTTCTGCGGCGAAAAATGATCA